TGTGTTGGCTGCACTTAATCACCGAGGCCCTGAAGCAGCCATGCCTTGCCTTGGGTCTCCTTAAGTCGCACATGAAAATGCCTCCTTTGTGGGAGTGGGTATAGCTCAGTGGTAGTGATGGTGCATAGCATGCAGGAGGTCCTGAGTTTATTAAAATATTAAAATAAATAAATAAATAAACCCAATTATCTGCTCCCTCCAAAAGAACCGCATGGAGCCCCTCTCTCTGGAGGACATCTTTGGTCTGCCACCTGTGCCACTGTTTTCTGAGAAGTGCGTACCTTCTCTGCCCACAAATTTCCAGTGGGAGTTACCAACCACCCTCCAACCCTGGCCGCAGGTTTGGGACATGACAGAGTCCTTCCCTAAGATCTTCTGAGTTGAAAATAAGAGAAGAGGACAGTCCCTCTTGGGTGACCAAACTGTGGATGGGAAGCCAGGAACTGCCTCCTGCAACTGTTGTGAGAAGTGGGGCTGCTGTAAGAGAGTGGGGCACTCAGTGCACAGAAGAAAGTCACAGGAGGCAGAGAGAGAGCATCTGGAGATTCATCCCTGGATCCAGTTGTATGTGAAGCCAGCCACCCTCTTGCCCACTGTACAGTTTATTGCTAGGAGCCAAGAAATTCCACCTTTTGCCCAAGCTGGTTCCAGTCAAGCTGCTGTTCTCTACCATAGGGGTTCTGAGAAGTACCAGGAAGAGGTCAGTCCCTGCCTGGGTGGGGTGGGACACAGACACCACTGTCCTGTGTGTCTCTCCATCCCCTAACCCAGAGCATGAAGACCCAGAAGCATGGATCAGGGGATGGGGGTGTGTGCGTCCAACCTGCTAGTTCAGGTTCAGCTGGAAGTTACCAATGCTGCTATTTAGACAACATCAGGGTCACTTGCATTGTAATCTGTTATAAGTTCTTCTCCACTAGACTGTGAACTCCAGCAGTAAGACCTGCCACTTCTTAGTCATGTGACTTCAGACAAGCTTTCTCACTTTAAAGCAAGGATGCTAACAGTATCTATCTCCAGAGTAGCTGGAAAATTAAGTGAGTGGATACATGCAGAGGGATTTGCTGTCCTTTTATTTGCTGTTCTTTTTTTGCAGGGCTCAGCTCAGTACCTGGCACTGGCTAGGCACCAAGTGGGCACCCTATAAATGTGTGTCCTGTGCATGGAGATGCAGAAAGACATTCCTTGCACCAGAGGGACACACACACACGGACACACACATGATAGAAGCACTCAGATCTCAGCATCCTGTACAGTGTCCCTCCTGGGAGCCCAGGGCATCCTCCGCCCCTGGCTTCTCTGGAGGGCAGCCTGCAGCTCTCTGAGGCTCTCCGCTGTCATCCCAGCAGCCCCACGTTGCTGGGAGTGCAGCTTGAAGCCTGGCTCAGCCCTATACCACGTATCAAGGGCAGTAGGACCTGCCGTGTTCTAGGAGCTGGGGGAAGTACCAGTCTGTATGTGTGTGTGATGGTTAACCTGGGGGGACCAGGGGCTCATTGGAGCTCTGGCTTCCAGAACTGCTGCTCTCGTAAAGCTCCACCTCATCACTCCCTAGGTCCTCCAGTTTCTTCCAATCTTCCTACCTCCTCAAGTAGCCCCCTGCACCCTAGTCCTGCCTGGAAGCTCTTGTGGGGTCTGGCTTGGTCTTTTTACTGGAAAGAGCTGAGTTCTTCTGCGGACCTGGGTCTGTGGACTCCTGGCTTGCCTCCTGGTCTGCCTCCTTCCCCCTTTGCCCAGGTCCTACCCCACCCCCATCCCCAGCCTTTGAGTTGTGCTCTGCTGGGGAGTATGTCTCTCAGGATGTTCTGGGAGGTCATACTGCTCGTACTGTGCCAACCTCCAGGGGAGGGGGTGTGGCATCGAGTGGCATGAGGATGCTACTTAGAGCATCTTGTGTTGGGGACAGTGCATTTGACCAGGTGTGCCCTCAGTGTGGTGTGCTCTGTAACATCAGGGCTGTTCTTGTGTTACCATTTTGTGTGGAATGTCTTAGTTTGAGAGGTAGGTGGTCAGGGGCGTGTGTTTTGGGTCACTGCGCATTGTGCTCAGGGCATTAACACTTTGTGTGGCTGCCCAAGGTCCCTGGGCCTTGAAAAGATAAGTGGGTGGAAGCACCTCTCTTCTGGGTGCTCCCAGAGCCCTCCATCCCCATCCCGTGGTTTCACTAGATCCCACTGTGCCTGAGGTCTCTTGAAGCAGCGGAAGCTCAGAAAACCCGGCAGAGGGGCGGAGAAGCCTGTTCTGGGGTCCTTTTGAGTTCGGAGCTCTTTTTCCCTAGGCCGCCACACCCACACTCCTTTGCCATAGGGATGGGGGACCGGTGGGCGTTCCCAAGCCCCTTGGCTGCTCCTTTCCCTAGCCCAGGTCCGCACTCCCAACAAAGGCGGTCGACCACGTGCCCCTTCCTGGACGCGGGCCTGAAGTCGGGACGCACGCAGCCCCCGGCTCCCGCTGCAGCCAGGGCTGGATCCCGACGAGGTGCTGTGACCTAGGTGGGTGCGGAGCAGCCCCCAGAAGCGCAGCCGCCCCGGGCTGTGCCTCGCCCACTCCCAGTCGCAGCTGCTGCACCGCCCTCGAAGCGGCGCTAGGGGGAGCTCTGGCAACTGGCTTGGTGGATTGCATCAAATTCGTGCATCAAACAGCTATTCCTCGGACTTGCGGGGGGAAATATGGGGAGGAGGGCGACACACCGTTTTCCCGTCCTCAGCAGCTCCAGACTCTTCCCGTGGGAGGCCGAGAAAATAGCCCTTGGGGTGAAGGTGCCTTTCCTTCCCGTAACTCACGCCTCCATAGCTTCCCTCTCCCTCCACCCTCATCGCGGCCCTTCGCGGCCCCCCGCGTTCTAGAGTGTCTCCGAGAACTTCGCTTCGCGCGACACCAGCACCCAGAGCCCAGCGGGCTCCTGGAACTGGCTTGCGTCTGCCTCTCGGAGACTGGGTTGGGGGCCTCTTAGCGGCAGCCCCTCCTCTCCTGCGGGAGACATGAAGGCTAGGGTGGGGGACGTGAGACGTCCTGCGGAGTGGCTCGCGCAGCAAAGGGGAGCGCAGGGGCGAGAAAGCGAGAGAGCACTGGGGAGACAGCGAGAAACAGACACCGGGAGAGAGAGAGAGAGAGGAGGGAGGGAGAGGGAGAGAGAGAGAGAGAGACTCTCAAATAGAGAGCAAGCTGCCACTTTTCTTTTTTCTTTTCTTTTTCCCTTCAGTCTTTCTTTTCTATCCCCTCTTGAGCTGGAACCACCCCGCGCGCCCCGTGCCCGAGGCGCGGCTCCAGATGTGAATTTGGTTCCAGTGGGGAGAACGCGAGCTTCCTCGGGGCCTTGGCACATTCTCCCACTCTGAGGTCATTCCGTAGGTGGTCAGAGGGGAGAGCGCGCCTGGAGCCTTCCTGCCTCCATCCACTGGGGAGGGAACAGAGGCGGGCGGGAGGGAGGGGAGAGAGAGAGGGGAGGGGCGCGAGGAGGGAGGGAGACGCCGCCAGCACACCACCAAGTGGCACCGAGCAGTGATAACAAACTCAACTTAAAAAAAAAAAAAAAAAAAAGGAAAAGGAAAAAACTTCCCCAAGTTGCAGCCTGAGACAGGCGGACGTGCGGGTGGAGGCGCAGGGCGTGGAGTGTGGGTGGCCCAGAAGCCCACCGGCGTCCCCCGGCTGCTCTCCCCAGCCGAAAAGAGCTCAGACTTGAGGCCGATCAGGCCCTTCTCTCCTGGCTGGGCAGGAAATGTGCTGGAGGCTGGCTCAGCTTCCTGCTGGAGACCCTGGGGGCAGCCGGTTCCCGTGGGGAGAAGGCCCCTCTCAGGAGGTGGGGCTTGGGAAGCGCGCAGCATCGGCTTCATCCTCAGCAATCAGCACCACCACCCCCATCCCGCTCCCACCCCGGCCCTGCGGATGTGGACAGATCCCGCCCTACCAGGCCCAGGAGAGCTGAGGTTTGCAGGACGGTAGGGGTCTCTGCCCCCACCCCCATCCTCCCCGCCATCTCTAGGCCGACCTGAAAACAAGGCACCACTATCCTCTATAATCGACTTTTTATTAAGATTATAAATTTAAACAAATAATCTGAACAGTTTTACCCGGTGATATACAATTCAGAATGCACAAAAATACAAGGGAATAAGAGAGAAGGGCCAGGAAAGGAAGGGTTGGCAACTTATTTTGGAGTCCACATGGTGCTGATGGCAGAGAACCAGAGGGGCTACAGACGAACCCCACCTTTTTACAACAAAAGGTTTTAAATTAAACAAAATCTACTGAGCTGAAGACACAGGACAGGGTTCTCACAGGCTCGAACAATGCTGGTTTCATGAAATGCAACCGAAGGCTGAACCAGGACAGTGCAACTTAGAAGCACACACACAAACACCACATCTGACCAGGAACTTAGTGAAAAGTCTCCAACGCAGTCGGCGGTCCCGGCCCCTCCCTCCCTCGGGGCCGCGGGGGATCCAGGTGAAGGAATCGACTTCCTTTTTTGTTTAGTGAGGACCGCAGTGCTGGGCATGATGGGAAATGTAGTCGGCCGTGCCCGCCCCCACCCCTTCCCCAAACAGTGTCCGAGAGTGTTGGGGTGTCCGGCGCCACCTCCGAGTCTGGAAGACGGGTGGAGGAGGGGAGGAGAACTGAGCCAGAGGGGCGGGGAGAGGAGGGGTTCAAGACACCCGCCCCGGGAAGAAAAGAAAAAAAAGTTGAAGTGTTTTCATTTCTGCCTTCTCATTTGGAGAACTTTGGAGGCCGCCCCCAGAGAGGAAATGTGACCCAAACGTCCCTTTCGGTGATAGTTTGCCTTTGTTTTTGCTCAGGATTTCACAAGACCTATTCTTCACCCCACAGAGGGACTCGGGAGAACGGAGCGCCGGGCTTCCTGGGTCTGACAACTGATTGGAATCGGCGTCCCGGGCCCGCGCCCTCCTCG